AACAAAATATAACTAACTTTCGAAATAATTTCAAAAAAAAAAAAAAAACTCATTGTTCAATCAACAAGTATAGTAACAAATAACAAACATACAACTAACTTTCAAAAAAAAAAAAAAAAAAAAACTCATAAAAAAATACAATGTGAATGTTCACAATTTACAATTAATATACAACTAACCTTAGAAAAACTAAATTCATACCAATGTGAACATTCACACTGAAACATAAAACAAAATTGAAAGAAAAAAAGAAAAGAAAAGAAGACTATTTCAATTATTTAATGGTAACAAAAAAATGGTTGTTTAAACAATAAGTATAGTAATAAATAACCAATGATATGTGAATATTCATATCTTGTAAAATATATAATTATGTCCATATCTATATTTTAACACTCATTTTTCAGACTTTCAAACAACGTGAAATGTTAACATTCACTTTGATTGACAAAAAAATAGAAACAACGACAGCAGTAGAATTAGAAATCCAAAAAAAACTCAATCACTCTATAAAAAAAAAAAATGTCACCCACATCCTCATTTTCATCATCATCTTCATCATTATTACTATCATTAACAATCTATGCAATTTCACCATTCCACTAATCCAAATCAAACTAAACCCACATTTGAAGAATATGTTTGTAATAAAATTGATTGGACATAAATAGAGTTTCGACTTACAATAATGAAGAAACATAGAGTTTTGAACACAAAGTAACTATAGACGATCACAGAACTTCAAACACAAAGTGACAATGGAGGAACACAAAGTTTCACCGCAACAATGGAGGAATGTAATATTATTTCACCATGTATAAACTCAAGTTTCTAAACCCTACCAAATAAAGAGTTTCGAAACCCTAATGAAATAACACCACAAATGTGAATGAAACTGATCCAAAAAAGCAATGTGAATAATGGTAATTACCAAAATAGAGATAGTAACAAAAAATAAATGTATATATCATTTTTCTATGTAATATATATCAACAATAGGCATAAGGGTATAGTAGTCCAACAAACAATATAAATCAGGAAAAAAGGATTTCATGGAATAAAAGTATAAATACATGGGACTAACTAAGTTATAATTTTTCTTAGTGGATTTATTGCGATTAGAACACCTCTAAATGACATTTATTAAGAAAAAACCATTTTTTTATATTTTTCCAAACAAAAGGAAGAGTGAACACAATTTATTTATTTATTTATTTATTTTTAATTAGAGTGAGGTCCAGAGAGAGAGAGGCAGAGCCTCTCTCTCTAGACGATTCTCGGCAAAGCTCCGACCAAGCTCGGGCGACTTTTCGATGCTCATTTTTTTACTTCTAAAATGTAGATTTACACTCTTAGAGTATAGATCTACTGTTTTAGAGTGTAGATTTGGACTTTTTATGTCCGACATAGGAGTTTTAAGAGTTTTCTCCTCCGATTTCGACATAGATTTTTGGTTTTTAAACACTCACAATGGTTCCCTTCTCTCTAAACCCTTCTCCCATACCATTATAGGTGTTCTTCCTTCTCCGGCAACAGTGACAGCGGCATTGAGCAACGACGACGGGGATGTTGTTGATAGGGACGACGAGTTTTTAAGCAAATGTTACTTTCCAGACTACATCTTTGAGCAGATCGGTGGTTTTTCTTTGATCGTAACTGTTTTTTTGGCAGATTTGTTTTTTATTGTTGTTTTTTTTCCTTTTGTTATTTGGTTGGGATACCCTTTTGGCCCCGTTTGTTTTCCACTATCAAAGTCCACTCCGGACTGTGATAGATGAATAGTAACAATGACTCCCTTTTGTTTTGATTTTGGAGCTCCAGATTCGAAGTTCGAAGGGAATATGATAGGCCTTGGTGAAGGGTATTAGCAATCCAGAGTGAGAGATGGTATTAATAAAGTAGTCCATTTGGATTGGGCGTTACCGGATGTCTGCCCGGAAGTCCAGTCGATCAACCAGTCAACTATATATATATATATATTTTGTTGGGTATTTTTTTTTAAACATCAATGTTTAATGTTTTTGTAATTTTTTGTTAAGTAAAAATCATAATTTTACTTGTTTTATTATTTTATATAAAAATAATTTAACAATCCTCCCACTAACAACTATCATCAAAACAAACATAATCCCTCCACTATCAATCCTCTCACTAACAAAATCTCTCACTACCAATCCCCTCCATTCTACCTCTAAAAACAAACGGGGCTTGTAGCAACCCTAATTTTTCACAAGTCATATTTATTATTATTACTTTATTTTATTTTTGACTTTATTAATTGTGTGGATACATGAGAATTTAATGTGGTATTTAATTAATTTAATGTGATATTTAATTATATATAATTAATTTGAATATTTATATATTGATATTTTATTTTATATATATATATATATTTAATCTTATATTTATATTTATATATGTTGTAATTATGTTGTATTTAAATAATATAATATGTCAATTAGGGTACAAAGCTTAGAGGCTCACTAAAATAAAAATAAAAAATAAAAAAAAAACAGCAACGAGAATTAAGAGAAAAAAAGAGGAGCAAGCCATGAGAGAGAGAGAGAGAGGCTCTGTGAGGAATCAAAGAGTGCAAATCGAGAGGGAGAGAAAAAAGAGACGACAAAGGAGAAAAAGAAAAAAAAGGGGTTAGGATTTTATTTTGGGGGTTTTATTAATTTTTCAAGTGATTTTTTGATCTTCAAAATAATGGTGAGTGTAAAATTTACTTTTCTTGATTTATGTTTAATTCGTTGTTTTTATTTATTTATTTGATGTTGATTTGATTTTGTATTTGCATGTAGATGATGGATTGATTTCATTATTTGGTTAGATGTGATGTAAAATTTAGGATTTTTATGTGTATTTACTTTATGATTTTAATCACACTCATGGTTATATGAAACTAAAATAAACTTAGAATCCATAAATAAATTTCTTACAGTCTACCATGACTCCATGGATTGTTATTTTATTTGAGTGTTGATGGTGAGAAAGCGTGTATAAAAAAATGTGAGGATTATGAGATTTATTTGAATGATTTAGGTTTGGCATTGTTATGTTTGTTCTCATGAGTAGATGAGAGATTGTGTATATATATACATATATATTGTTGCCTCGTTCTCGGGAGTAGACGAGTGCTTTGATTTTCGTACGTACGTATATAGTAACCATCCGGGGTGTATGGGTCAAACTCGGGACGATATCTTCATGCGAATTTGGCTTTGAAATGGTGTTAGGTATACAGGAGGTATATGTGATATATGTATAGGCCGGAAGTGAAGGGTCGAAGTGGTGTAATTAAGGTACAAAGAATTGAATATGAACTTATTGATATAGTTTGAATTATTTTGATTGGTAAATCTCGAAAAATAGAAAACAATCTCGTTAAATTACGAAATTTGGGCAGAGGCACGTATACGTAATTCTAGACAACTTTTATATTTTAAATTTTTACTAAAAAGATCGATTAGAACTTGTAATCAGATTATCTTGGTTGCAACAGTTTTTCTTCATTTTAGTAATGCAGATTTTAAATGCTATTTTAACCCACGAAACGAGCTCATTTTTATTGGTTTCGCGTAAACTGAAGTAAAACATTATTATGAATACTTTTCATGTTTTGAGCTTTACCCAAAAAAATCATATTAGAGCAGATTCTTTTCGTTTTCAGTTTTAGATTTTTTGGTTGAATTCCATTTAAGTTTTTCTATCAAGTTTTTCTCTCAACCTGTTCAGTTTCTACTAAATTTGTTTGTATTGCCTTTTATAAAATTTGATTTTGTACAACTTTTGTTCTTTGAGTTTTGGTCAATTCGAATGATTTAAGTATGAAACAGTACGTTTTTATACTTCTTCAACAATTTACTTATAATTAAATTATACTAACTTTATTTTTTTGTAGAATGGTGGGTCTTACTAATTTTTTTATGCAGGGCTGACCCACCATGTATTTTTTTAATGTTTATTTTGTTTATTTTTTACTCAATTTATATTTAGTTGTGTACGGGCAAGAAACTAAATGCCACCGTATCTCGGGAAACTATCCTTTCATCTCGGTGTAGGTGGAACTACTTGTTTTGTCTCGTCTCATAACAAAAATTAAATGTACTTTTATTTATGTTTGGTTGACACGTGGGTGTAAAATATTTGTTCTCATGCTAGTATACTTGTATACTGATCCGTTTTGTCTCTTGGTATCTCGGGTGCGTTCTATTTGAGCGCAGTAGAGTTTCCTTTGCAGGCAAAATAAGTATAGTTGTTGGACATGTCGTTTGGACTTCTTTTATTTTATTGAGTTTAGGGTTGATATTAGTTTATGTATTTATTATTTATTATTATTTTTTTATGACCTTAGTATTTTGATAATTTGGCATTATAGGTTATTTTTTAACTTTACATTATTTAAGTTGTTTTAATTAATTGTTGCTATTTTAATGTTTGAGGTATTGGATAATTATGAATCTATGATGGATAGTTTGGTTAACGTTTATTAATTTTTTTTTATCCCTTATATATATATTTTTTTGAGTGTTGAAATTTACTTAAATCTTATGGAGATGAAAATATATAAATTTTGTTTTACTGTTAAGATTTGAATGATGAAATATCGATTAAGATTTAGTCTTAATTTAATATTTAATTATCTAAATTTTGAGGTGTGACAAGACCTTTGGGGTCTTATTTATATAGCCGGGTTGTTTTATTAATATAGGGCAGTGCTTGGTCCCCCGAATGGGGGTCCCCCGAATCCCCACAATTTCCCTTTTTAGTAAAAAAAAAAAAAAAAAAGAAGACAGAAAAAAAAAAAGAAAAAACAGTTTCTCAAAAAGGAAATTAGGGGGATTAGGGGGACTTTTTTTTAGTGCTACAAAGCATTTTCCATTGATAAAAAAAACACAATTTTTTTTTTTTTAATTTTTATTCTCTCTCTCTCTCTCTCTCTCTCTCTCTCGTTCCAAACAGTCGCTATTTATTGGTATTTGGATTTGGATTGTCAAATGTTGTTGGGTCATCAAAAATCAATGGATGGTTCTAATTCACCCAAGACGTGGGCCTGTAAGATCATCAACCAGTCCTCCTTATCCAAATCCACTGTTACCCGCAACTTTTCTCTGTTTCTCTATTCCTGGAAGCTCTTTCGAGCAAATGGAAGTTCCTACTTTTCATACCCCATTTCAATTGTCAAATGCTTTCAAATCTCCAAGGTTAGAAGCAAAACACTGCAATTTCGTTTCTGTTTCTGTTTCTGTTTCTTTTTTTTTTAAAATGTTTCCACTAGCGAGTACAATTAAGAGCTCTAATATAGCAAAATTACAAAAATTGTGGTAGTTTTCTGTTGATTATTGCATTTTTTTATGTGTTCCTTTCAATCATGACGAGTCTAGCTCGTCACCCATTTCGAAGAAATCTGAAACAATAGGATTGATATTCCCAGTGATTGGCATCTGGGTTTTCCATAAATTTGCTCTTTTGTGCTGTGTTGCTTTGCTTCCCTGGGAATTTTTTATTTTATTTTATTTTTTTAACTATCACGAACTGGGTTTATTTAGAAATGACATTTTGTTGTCTATTTAGAACTGGGTCTACATTTGATCAAACAATTACCCAAAATGTATCTTTTTATTTATGGTTTGTCCATGAAGAAACAATTTTACAAATGATTGTTTGACAGGCAATATTGTTTTTGCACCCTAAATGCTTGAGAAAATGTCATTAGTAAACTAACAGTGAAGCTTTCACATTTCCATGAAATCAGTTTTATGAACAATGAACAATCGAAGATAGCTTTGTTGAGGAACTTGGGTCACAGGCTCCCGGCCCTGATAGTGAAAAAGGTGCCCAGAAGACCGCTTCTGCAGTTTGTGGTATTCAATCCTATCTTTCTAAATGTCTATCCTGTTCTTGGTGCACCAAATCCGGAGATGAAGGAACCTGAAGTAATTCGGTAAATGTTGTATGTCCTAGTGTTCTGTTTTTGTTTTTGCTTTGAAGAATGGAACACTATTCTGAAACTCCTTCATCAAGTCATTATTGTCATTGAATCGCATGTGGAATTATTGTGTGGGATTTGAAGCATCCAGGACCCAGAAGCTTGCTAGTGGAGTGAGGATACAAGGTAAGACTTTCTTAAGGTTCACATCTGAAGTACATGATTTCCTCTAATTTTCCCAATTTGTCATCATCTTTATCTTATTTTCTGGGTTCACTTTTCAAGATATAATTGAAGGGGAAGGGCCAGAGGCTCATGAAGGAAGTCTGGTTGAAGTTAATTATGTATGCCGGCGATCCAATGGCTATTTCGTTCATAGGTAATTCCATATATTACTTTCTTGCTTCTAATGGAATTATGGAGACACATGATTTCTGATTCCGGGGGCCACTGTTCCCAACTTAAAACATATTCTTGTTTTATCCTATGCTGTTGTATTGACTATTTTCTTAAACTTGAACTGTATTTCCTTGCAGTACCATTGATCAATTTAGTGGAGAAAGCAGTCCTGTTATACTTCCTCTGGATGAGAACCAGGTTAGCTCTGTTTCATTTTTACATGTCTGAGCATGAGGATCTTAGGGTGTATTGGGCAGAGTTAAACTATTTTTTTTTTTGTTGTTGATAAATAATCAAACTTTATTAAAAAACATCAAGACGATCTAATGAATACAAAAAATAAGCCCACAAAAGGATTAAATAAAACTAACTAATCAAATCCTCCACAAAATTGACAAAAACCAAAACATTTGGATCAATTGTACCCTTAACCGAACTATGCGACAATATACTCTCTAACCATGAAACGGAATGGCACTCATCCTGAAACACCGCCTATTCCGTTCCACCCATACCAACCAAAGCAAACATGGGAAGGAAGCACCCAAGCCTTCAGGATTTGTTATCACTTGAACTTCAAGTGTTCCTGTTCCCAACAAATAAAGGAAACAAACAAACAAGTTGAACTGTTCTTCATCATAATCACCAAACTCTGCTGCCACCTCAAATGTAACCACGCCTATATAATTACTGTTGTCATCGCTACCATGTCTAACAGTACACTTTTTAGCTATTGAAGTCAACAATACATTATTTATGTAGTAAGTTACTTTGTCCATGCAGAAGAATTCATTTTTCTTCTTACCAACTCTCATCCTTTTCATTGTGGTACTGTCCCTCTTAGTAGTCTTAAACCCTTTCTAACTCTCGTTTTTTGTTGATGCAAACATTGGTCTTCTTTAGTTGATGCCCTATTGATTATATTTCTGTTGTTTCAAAGTGCAATTTTTTCCTCATACAACTTGGTATTCTTTCTGTTGCTTTAAAAAAAAAAAAAAGTATATTTATATTCATTAAGAAATCCGGAATAATACTAACCTGTGTTTGATTAACATATCTGTTCAACTCCGCATTGTTATCATTCCGTTACACAGATAATAAAGGGTCTGAAGGAGGTATTGGTTGGCATGAAGGTTGGAGGTATATTCAAGTAACTCATCTCTGGAAGACATATGATTGGTCTTGACAAAGTTGTTTAAGCAAAACCTCTTTTATAGTCAATAATACCTGCTTTTTCCTATCAATAATTGACTGCCTGAATTTGTTTCGATTATTATTTCAGGGAAGAGAAGAGCACTAATACCTCCTTCTGCAGGATACACTAACGAGAACTTACAACCAATCCCTGATGAGGTTTTGCGATTTTTATCCCTTATCTCCTCATCATCACTAATGAGTAATCAAGAGAATTTGGTTTTGCTGAAGAAATTTAAGCTCACATAGGCCATATATATTATGCATATTGTTACGCTATGGTTGTTGTTTGCAGTTTGGCCCTCGACGCAGCCTTTTCTCTCATGCCAACGAGCCTTTGGTATTTGAAGTGCAGCTTTTGAAAGTGTTGTGAGTTTATCATTGTTATAATCCCAGTACGAATTTCGCTTCTGTAAGATTGATTTTTGGGGTGTTTTTGTTCCATTGTCTCGTATATTATTTGGATGACTGCAATTTCAGCTTTTCTTGGTAAAATGTATATGCAGTCTACAATTAAACTTATTTATGCATCTATTTGGGATTGTTGTACTACAGTGGAATTATTCGGATGATTGCTTCATTATCTGTTATTTTGCCATTCTGGATCGCCAAATTTGTGAATAAAAACTTGCACCATTCTCACTCATTTGTAAATCTTTCCCCTATTTCTCACTTGCATAATATCTTCCCAATGAATAATACTTGTACAAGATGACAGGAAATAGATAGGGACAATTGCACCCCAAAAAAAAGATATATACATTTGTGCTTCCTATGCTGAACGGAATGAAGGATTCCTTTCCTTATTGCTTTGTCTGAGTTAGGGCTGCAAATGAACCGAATTGTTCATGAACAAGCTTGGCTTGGCTCGTTAAGGGCTCGACTCGGCTCGGTTCGGTTCGGCTCAACTCGGCTCGAATATTAGGCTCGTTTAGTAAACGAACCGAGTTCGAGCTCGCATAAGCTCGGCTTATTTATTTTTATTTAAATTATATAATAAATATAATATAAATAATATTTTTTACTTAAATATTTTTATTTAAATAATATAAATAATATTAAAAAAAAATTTATTGGGCCGAGCCAAGCCGAGCCGAACTCTAATTTCATTAATATTAACGAGCCGAGTTCGAGCCCAGTTTCTTATTGAGCTGAGCTCGAGCTCAGTAAACGAGCTCGATAAATAAACGAGCCGAGCTCGAGCTCAGCAAAGCTCGGCTCGACTCGGTTCGGTTCGGTTCGTTTGCAACCCTATTTACAGTATAGATTGTCTATTGTGATTTAAAAAATTACAAATATACCCTTATTAGAATTTTTTATTTAACAGAATTAATTAAAAAAATAAAATTCATAATTGTTCTCCTATACAATAATAAAATTACCTCAATTATTAATTGAAATATATTTATAATATCATAAAAAACTGTTAATTGACTTGATGATTTATTAATAAAATGAGCAATTTATTATGAAAATAGAAAGCTCAGAGAGTGAAATATAATTTTCAGAACCACAATAAGTGATTCATATTTTAATCAAACTTTAGGTGGTGTATTTATAATTTACTCTATAAAAAATAATTACAATTCGATAGAAGAAAAAAGAAGAAATGTAATTATGCTATCCATACAAATATTTGTAAGGAACAAAGATGTTAAAAATAGGGGAAATTAGCACTCCGAAGTAATTTGATTTTTTTTTTTTACATATTTATGAAAAGTTTTAATCTTTGAATAATGGGGTGATTTGAAAAGTTGGTTAAAATTTGACTTTTTAATTGTTTTAGATTTTTTATCATTTTATATGTAAAAAATGTGAAAAATAATGTGACTCAAAATAAAAAGTTATTTTTTTTTTTCCTAAGTCCCAAATGGCCCCTATGTGTGTATTTGTTTTTTTTATGTTTTATTCATAGTTCAAATAGACAAAATTAAGTTGGAAGCTTAACTTAAAATAATTTTTTATATTGATAATTAAATTGCACAATTTAAACATTATATATCAGAATGACATATTAAAATAGATTAAATTAACAAAAAGAATCAAATTAGAACACCTTTTTTTTCTTATAAATTATAGAAAATGTTACGAATTCCAAATAAATTATTAAATTTTTTACCAAAATATGAGAGATATAAAAAATTTAATAATTTATATGAGATCCCTAAATATAACTCATAAATTATAGATTAAACTAGCCCGATTTAAACATTGGAAATAAATCACAACTTTTGAAAACTAAAATGGTAATTTAACCATTAAAAATATAGTAAAACAGACAAAATAATGAATTATTGTGCATTCCTTAACTCAGAAGAAACCGCACGACGTTGTATTATTCCGGTTGAGTGCGCACACACATCACAGTTGGCGTCACAAAGCCGCCATTGGAGGTCGAGTTCAGTTCAGAGAGCTTCGTCTTTATCTCTTTTTTGCCTCTTCGGAGGCGAAATAAAAAACACCACAAATTTCAATTCTCTTTAATTCTTTGAATCTTCGTTATTGAAAATCCATAACCAGAGCTCGAAACCAACAACAAAACGAAAATGCAGAAGTGGTTTTCAGTCGGCGGCGGCGAGGAAGATCGGCAACAACCGCATCCATTGACGTCTTCATTGTCGTCGTCCTCATCATCGTCTCTTTTGGCCGATTGGAACTCATACGCATCGTCAAAAGCTTCGGAACAGAACACCGCCTTGGGGGTTTTTGATCTCGATCTGGAATCTGCTGTTAGGTCTGCCAATGATACGGTCGCTGGTACTTTCAACGTGTAAGCTCCTTCAACTCCTCTCTCATTCAGTTCAATTCTAGGGTTTATTTATGTAAATTTGTTGTGTTTAATTTGCATCGATTGTTCTTTGTTGATGATTGAGGGTGCATTGAAGTAATTGGGGGAATTTTGGGATGGGAGGGCGGGTCAGTGGAATGAATGGATTTAGTGGTTGAATTCTTGCCAGATTTTTGTCTTAATCTTTGTTTTGCGTTGAATTTGTCAATTGTAAAACCTGGTGGTTAGTTAATTGACACCACATTTTAGGTTTGTAGATTCTGGGGTTTTAACTCTCTTGAATTCCAAGGAATGGTTGTTGGCCTACTGGTAACTATGAGAATAAAAGTTTCCGGGTTCACTGCACAGATCTGTAGAATAAATTCTTGAAACATTACGTTACATAACATTTTTGTTTTGATAAATGAAACATTACATTACATGTTAGAGGATAGCTGTTAGTGTGCGCATTATCGAGCCTTAAGAAACTTTTGAAAACGTTCCACACACACACACTCTCGCGCGCGCGCACACACACACACAGAGTGGCGATATCAAGGAATACTCCATTGAACACGTGAACGAAGTTAGGATACATCTCTGGCTTCAAAATGCTACAAAATCTATGATGTGTCATCCACTAGCCTAGTAAAGGGTGTTATTATTTGCCAGTTGCTACTGCATATGAATCATTGGGATCAGTGGAGTCTGCACCCAGACAATCAGATTTCATTTTTCCCTAGAAACCCATTCCATTATATCAAATAACTAAAAGTACAATGGTTCACACAGCTCTGATATTAATATGTATGTATAACATCTCTCCTTCTACTATTCAATTAACAAAATAATAAAAGCAGGAAACCACAACCCACAACTTTGGTTATACATATACACATAATATATACTTGCAAACGGTCACACCTATACATAAGATATACTTACTTACACACACAGACACACACACACACACGTGTATATATATATGTGTGAATTAAATGCAACTTGAGGGTTGGTTTCACACCTGAAAATTTAATTGGTTGATTTTTTTGAGAAATTTGTCAACTAATTGGAATAAATGAGAGGGTATTGATCCTTGGGGTTTGGTTGTGGGCCCTTTTGGTGCATCATTGCGATATTGCAGGAGAAGGCTATGAGCTCTTTTGGGATGATGGTCTCAATGACGAGGGCAACGACTTGTGGCTTGTGGCGGTGATGGTGGCAGTGTCATTGATGGAAATGGATTGCTGCAAATCCACCAATGATGGGTGGAGGTATCGGTGGAGTTATAGAGACTATTGTTTGGTTTCATGGAAGCAAATGGTTATGATTGATTTGGTTATTATTAGTTTAAATGTGTTTGGTTACAAGAATAGATAAAAATATAGGACAATTTATTATTGTGGAAATACAATTTTGTAGAAGAATGAGGAAAAGAAGATACTTTAATCAAGTTAAGTGCATAAAAAGTGAGATTTTGGGGCAATAGTGAAGGATGAGAAAATTAAAGAAATGTGAAAAAATTAATTGGAGAAATTGTTAATTTAATGAAAACTTGGGAGGAGAGGATTATTGTAGTCTTGATGGAATTAGAAAATATAAGTTTTATTGTCAAATAACGAATTTTGAAGTGGAACTTGCACTTAGAAAGATGAAATTTGGCAAGACATAAGGACTAGGTTTTGTATTGGTTAACAAAATTAATAAAACTCTAATGAATGGATGACAATGGAGAAAAAAGTATTTTAGTACCTATATATGAAAAAGATGGAGATATCTAAAATTGAAACAATTAAGTTGATGATTGATACAATGAAATTGTGGGACAGAGTGATTTAGCATCAGTTAAGAGTTGCAACAACTGTGTTAGAAAATCAGTTTGGATTTATCCCGACAGATCAAGTTTGGAAACAATATATTTACTAAGAAGATTAATGGAGAAGTAAAGAGACAAGATGGGAGATCTTCATATGAATTTTGTAAATTTAGGATAAAGTTTACAATTGTGTGTTTAGAAATATAATATGGTGGATATTAGAAAAAAAAGTGTGACAAAGGAGTATATTGATGTGATATAGGACATTTAGGATGGGGTTGTGACTATAATTAGATCACCACCTATAAGAGAAACCAGTGAATTTTCAGTCATTATATGTTTGCACCAAGGGTCAACTTTAAATCCTTAATTATTTACCTTAGTCATAGATGAATTACCTAAACACATTCAATAAAATAGTACAAGTACAATTTCCATCGACAGTAGTTAATTGACTACTCTAACAGGGGAGGTCAGTTTGATTTCAAAAACCAGAAGGCCCTTGTATTGTTAAAATCTCAAGAGAGGTCTGTGTAATTAGCCCTTTTTATCTTGCAACTATGTGTGTCCACCCCCCACTTTGGGGGATTAGAGTCTAAGGAGGCTTACACACTATTAATTAGTCGTCATTTCCTAGATATTTTTGTTGAGATGAACCTAGATGCATGATTATGATTGTTAACTAGCATGTTATCATGGTAAAAAAAAAAAACCACAATTTCTCGATGGGCTAAAAATACATTGGCCAAAGTAAGCAATGAGTTAGAAGATGTCTACTGCTGTAAGCTGACTCAAAAAAATATTATTATGAGGACTTTAACAGAGCCACTTCAGGATGATTTATTTGGATTTCAGAGTTGGTGATTGACACATTGGCTTTTGGTTGATGGTCTTGTAATAATGTGATATGTATGTTCTCATGCTCTATGTTACACAAACTCTTCAAAATATATCAAATACCCGGGTCAGACACCTGACACTCGGACAAGGGTATGAGATATGTGTCGGATACTTCCTTTTTTATTTTTTTAATTGGCACTGGGGTGTCTGGATTGAAGCCCAACTAATCCCCAGGGATATGTGTCTGCTACTTTTCAACGGACACTTCTTATATAATTGTAGATAACACTATTATCGCATGTACATATTGTTGTATGATTGCTATAAATGTCTTTTTGACATTGTAAGTTACATATGGCACCATTTTTTTTTCCCCACATACTTGATTAAAAATATAAAAATTACATTTTTTTGCCAAGTCCATGTACCCTTAAATTTATGGTTTGATGAGTCTGACCTCTAGATACATACCTGCCCCCGAGTCCATGTAACATAGCTCATGCTTTTAGGAATTGTTTAGTTATGCATAGCATTGTTCCTTAATCCCTTTGTAAGATTGATTGTTTTAAAAATGTTTTCTCCGAAGTCCTATGAGAAAATTCCTTGATTTGGGAAGACAAACCAGTTGAAGGTAATCTTGATTAGTCTTCTTAGAGAGGAAACAGAGTTGCTAGTCAATTCTTTGAGGGGTAATTTTATTTATTGCTGGTTTATATGTGAATATTGCTTTCTTTCCACAGTCATATAGTCATTGTTGATACTTGTCAGGGTTTCAAAAGGAGTGAGAGAGATACCAGGGAACTTGCAGTCTGCCACTAGTAACCTTCCTTCAGGAAAATCTCTCATGTACTTTGGCATACTTCTGGCAACTGGGGTGTTCTTTGTTTTCATTGCATTTACCATGTTCCTTCCAGTCATTGTTTTACTGCCTCAGAAATTTGCTCTGTGCTTTACTCTTGGATGTTGCTTGATCATTGGGTCATTCTTCGCTCTTAAAGGTCCAAAGAATCAGTTTTTGCACATGTCATCAAAAGAGGTATCAAATCAATCTTTTAGACATACATTCCTGGTTGCCAAGTTATATTCTGCAAATGTGGTACTTTCTTCCATTCTCACTCTTTTTCCCATCGTATTCGCCAGAGACTTCCTTTTACATTGGGATTCGTAGGCACCATGGTGGGTACCATTTATGTTTCCATGGTGCTTCATAGCTACATTCTCTCTGTGCTTTTCTCTGTGCTTCAGGTATCGAACTTATGCTTTTTGACTTTTTGATGTCTTTGTTAAATACTCTTTTTCCCATCGTATTCGCCAGAGACTTCCTTTTACATTGGGATTCGTAGGCACCATGGTGGGTACCATTTATGTTTCCATGGTGCTTCATAGCTACATTCTCTCTGTGCTTTTCTCTGTGCTTCAGGTATCGAACTTATGCTTTTTGACTTTTTTGATGTCTTTGTTAAATTTTCCCTTATTTGCTAGAAGAAATGGGGAATAGAGTGTATTCTGTAATGTGGATTGGAACTGATGTTTTACCAACCTTGTAGGTTCTTGCACTAGCATACTATGCTGTATCATACTTCCCTGGTGGATCTGTGGGGATGAAGTTCATGTTATCTGGTATTACCTCGTCCATAATGAAATGCTTTGGCCGGTGATTTTGATACTTTGGTGTTTATATTTGTTCCATGTAGTTTTCACTCTTAGAAGGATCCATCTGGGGCAGTTAGAATCGGAATGTTTAAATGGCTGTGTACATGCCAATTGAGTATAGTTTTTCCTGGGCATCTTCTTTGATCTGAAATCCCACTCTAAAAGAACCATGTATATTTTAATTGTTGAAAGATTTTACAGTAAATGAAACACACATTGATTGGAAACCTGAAATATCACAGGCTGATATTTCTTTTTTATTTTATATTAATTTTTGGCATTTGTAGATTAGTGGCTGATGATGATAATGAAACCACCCTTGAACTCTTTTTTCTTTTTTTGGAATTTTGGTCGGTAACATGGATGTGCTTGAAATGTCCTTGCTCATAGTTTCTCCCCTCTTGGCTACTTGATAGTTTACACAACTTATTGGAGTTCTTTTTGTGTGTGTTCATTTGTGATCATAGATTATGAGCAGCTTATTTTATAGGGTTCTCGTGTGAGTTTTGGACTTTTGTAGATATAGATGCCTTATAGACTGCAAAACTTGGTTACTAGGAAAAATTACCCGCAAAAGTAAATTTGTGAACCGCACTCATAAACTCGGTTTACTTGCTTATTTCATCAACTGTTTCATGGGCTGCACTGAGTTAGGAATGGCAACGGGCCGGGGCGGGGCCGGGGATCACCCTCCCCGTCCCCGATCCCCGATGGTAGAAATTTTCCCGTCCTCGGCCCCGATCCCGATCCCCAACGGGGAGCCTATCACTGCCCCCGTCCTCGCCCCCGCCTCCTAACGGGGATCGGGTTTCCCCGACCCTGAAAATTCCTCGGTCAAAGTAAAAAAAAAAAACAATATAAACATTCAACGACAGATCTGAGCACATATATTATATTCATCAACAACATCATCATCAACAAATCTGAGCAAGCATATATATTCATCAAACAGATCTGAGCAAGCATATATATTGTTAAAATCCACCTACTCTCCACCTACTTCACCCACTATATTCATCAACAACATCATCATCAACAAATCTGAGCAAGCATATATATTCATCAAAAATAAAAAATAAAAAATAAAAATCTAACACATACACATTCAACACATTCAATAAAAATCTGAGCTCAGAAGTGTTGGTGAGGCGATCGGCTGTGATGGAGAGGAGAGAGAGAGGGACGAGAGCCAGTGATAGAGATCGGTGGGTGGGAGGGAGATCGGAGTGAGGCAGTGATGAAGATCGGAGGGAGGGAGGGAGGCGTGAGGCAGCACAGCGATGGAGATCGGAGGGAGAGGAGGCAGGCTATGGCTGAAGGAGGATGATCGGCATCGCGATGGGTGGTTGTGGCTGTGACTGCGTCGCGACAGTGGTGAGAGTGAGAGAGAGAGAGAGTAGAGGGAAGAGAGAGAGAGAGAGAGAAAGAGATACGGAAGACATAACTGATGAGGGTTTGGTTTGGTTAGGTTACTATGTGTGTGTGTGTGTATATATAGGGGGTAAACTAGTAATTTCATTTCGGGGACAAACCAGGCTGGGAAACGGAGACGGGGCATGGCCGAGTACGGGGCTGGGACACTTATCCCCGTCCCCGGCCCGAATCTGTTCGGGGATTGATTTTTAAATACCATTCCCGTCTCGTCGGGGGTATTTTTCGAAGAAAACCCGCACAATTCGGGGTCGGGGGGTCGGGTCCCCATCAGGCCGGTTTCAAATTACCATCCCTACACTGAGCCCAAAAGTTGGTCTAAATTCGAGTTTAGGCCTCGTTTGGGAACCGTCCCTTTTAGTCAAAAAATCAAAAAGTTACTAAATTAGTCAAAAAGTCAACAACCTACACAAAAAAGTCAAAGATTTTCTTTTCTCTCTACTTTTTGCACATCTTTTCGTAAAAAGCTAAAAAGTCATCCCAAACATACTATTTTTTTTAGCTCATATTTTAGCCAAATAGTCAAAAAGTTACTAAATTAGCCTGTTCCCAAACGAGGCCTTAGTATTGTGTTTGTTTAAGTTTGACTTAAAAATTTAGATGAGTTTGAAACTATGTTTCAAGTTTAGTTTGTTTATTTTTTGAGTCAATCTCACACAAATTTTAATTAAGTTGATTACCAGCCGAACTTCAGCTGTTTAAATTTTATATACAATTTTAGGTTGCATATTAGCTTATTTGTTTAGTTCATGTCAAGGTTAAAAACTTAACGCTTGATTTATAATAAATTAATTTCAAACAAGATTTTGAAAATTTGATTCATTTTAGTCCCTATCAACTGGAAAGATTTCATTGACCCATAGGCCTAGCAATAGACATCATCAAGGACATGTGCAGGCAATAGCATCAAAGGGCTAGTGATCTGTTTTTATTAAAATATAACTACTTTCCTTTTCCTTTTTCTTTTTCTTTTTCTTTTTCTTCTTGTGGGTGAAAAAATATTATAGTTAAAACAAAGAAAATAGCTTTAGCAAACAAATTTTGACTCCAACATTGAACTTACATGTTACAAGTTGTGTTTTAGGTCAAGGTTAGAGCTTAATAAAAGCTAAAGTCCAAGAGCATCATCCCAACTCCGCATCCATCATCGCTCTTTTAATAATCGCAAAATGAAGTGTTTGGGAGGTGCGAAAACCCTGAAATTAAGGAAAGATTAAGACACTAACATGTGATTAGGGGACATTGATTTGACATTATACATGGACTTTAGAGTTTAGACAAAACATTGGTTTATTTTATTTTATTTTTTTAATTTAAAAAAATGGTCATACTTCGAAGAAATGGAAAACAAAGTAAACAACAAAAGTGCCGATTGAAGTGTTTGAAGACGATCAAAACATCAATATCTAGGTGACAATTAACCGGATAGAAACAAAAGGCAATGCCAAGACAATGTTTGAAGTTGGGGTGATTTATTCTAGGAAAGGTGATACTCATCTAGAATCCAATTGTAGTCAACCATGTCCAAGGAAACATTGTGATGTATAGACATAATAGTATATAATAATATTGAAATGTGTGGATTAAAATTCAGTTAGAATGTGGCTCATATTATACTATGTCTAAATCTGCACCACATATTGGAATAGAGAGGCCAGAGTAGGAACAGGTTTGTAGTGCCCGACCCTGCCCCTATCCCGAATCATATTGGGGTCAAGGCAAACTGGGAAAGGGGCAGTAGCGTGTTAATTTTGCAATTTTAGGAATGATGGTACTGATAAAAGTGAGAAATGAAATGATATATTATGAATAATGATTGATACGTAATGAGATTTAAAAGATAGAAGATAAGAAAGAAAGAACAAAAATAAGCATTAATTGTAATATTTTGGTATCTTACTTTGAGAGAATTAAATTATATATTATATACATACAAAGAGATTTAATTAATATAATATGAGCGAGAGCGGGTAGAATGGGGAAAGGAAAACCCGTCCCTGTCCTACTTTTTTATCTAGACAAGAAAACTCCAATGAGGTGGGGCGGGAGAGAGATTTTTCTTTTTTCTCATTAAAAAAAAGGGTCATATTGAAGAAATGGAAAACAAAGCAAACAACAAAAGTGCTGAGTGAAATGTTTGAAGATGATCAAAACATCATTATCTAGGTGACAATTAACAAGCTAAATCCAAAAGGCAATGCCAAAACAATGTTCAAGTTAGTTTGATTTATTCTAGGAAAGGTGATACTCATCTAGAATCCAATTATAGTCAACCATGTCCAAGGAAACATTGTGCTCTATCGACATAATAGTATATAATAATATTGAAATGTGTGGATTAAGATTCATTTTAGATGTAACTTCTATCATACTACGTCTAAATCTGCACCAAATATTTAAATTTTGGACTAGGGATGGCAATGGCACGGGATAGGGCAGGGTGAGGACGGGTTTGTAGTGCCTCGCCTCCTATTCTGAATCATATTGGGCGTAAGGTGAATTGGGAAAGGGGAGGAAGCATGTTAGTTCTGCAATTTTAGGAATGATGATAAAAGTGAGAATGATATGATATATTGTGAATAATGATTGATAAGTAATGATAATTTAAAAGATATGAGATGAGAGATAAAGAAGTAAACATGAGTGTTATGTGTAATATTTTGGTAATTTAGTCTTACCATATTTGAGAGAGTTAAATAACAAACACACACACACACACACACACATATATATATATATACGTATATATTATACATATAAAGAGATTAATATATACAATATGAGTGAGACTGGAAAATTCGTGTGAGGTGGGACGGGAGAAATTGCTATACCTATTGGATACTCTTTTTTCTTCAGAATTTTTCTTGGTGCATTCTATTTCTGTAACGGAGAAATGTATGAAAACAAAGCACTCTTGAGATGCAAACTTGTTCAACAAATGTGATGCCTTTTACATATATGTTTCTTTTTTTTGGAGGTATAAAGAAGAAGAGGTCTTTTTTTTTAAAGTCGTCTTAGTTTACTTTTTTCTACATCTTACGGACAACTTCTGATCAGCAGAGTCATCAATTCAATTATTCCTCTAGCTTTTCTACATAAATTAGAATACTCTCTCTCTCTCTCTCTCTCTCTCTCTCTGACAAGAAAACCAATAAGAATTTACAGCAACATGCATGGAAGGGTGTAAGTAACATGGCACGTTCATGGAAGTAGTATATATGCTCTTAATCTTTATTTATTTATCTTAAAGCATAAGCATCTCTCTTTTACTCTTCACACGGCCACTATAATCCAATTCTTTCAGTTTATTTTTTTCTACTAGAAAAAGCCCTAGTTTTGTGTCAATGCCATATTCCCATGTGCCCTCCCTAATTGTTGGCTATCAAAATTCTTGACGGTGTGATTTCTATTAATAGTTTGCACTCATCATGTGTGTTTGTGTGTGTGTGTCCAACTCTATATCTAAGACTGACTAATAATGCAAAAGATGATCATTCTGATGACCATGTGGTGAGATCTTCATTCAATCCCAATGTCCACATTCCACAATGTGGTGTAGATCCACTTCAGTGTTTCTGTAAATTTCGTTTGCATTAGTATTATGTCTAGAATTCAATACTGATCACGCATTGGCTGTTGTATAATGCTAGGTTCGCTGCAGTATTTGTATTTGTATCTAGTTTGACCCAGTTTACAATTATTTGGATCTTTGTATATCTTGGGTTTGTTTCGGGTTCGAGAACTTTATGGTCTTGATAGCTTCAATAATGAACAATTGTGTTGACTGCTGTCTGCTGAGAAAAGAAGGCTTATAGTATTTCTTTTCCTTCATAGTGAAATTTCTCTATCGTTCTTTGCCTACGAACATTTAAGTGACACTTTGTGAAATCCCACGACA